TATTATATTATTTTACCTTTTCGCTCTTTTTTGCAACTCTAAAAACAATTTACTAATTTTTTGCCAAAGGACATGCCGCCACTCAATAAAGGTAGAACGAAATTTTGATGCCACTTCATCAAAATTTTGTTCACCAATCTCCGGCACCAAAATTTTTAGAAACCTTTTGATAATTCCATTATATTTGGCATTATCAAGGTTCCTACAATGGATAAACAGTGCATGCATCTTAAGCGAACATGATTGCTTAGCAATTGGCGGAGGGTATGTTATTTCATAGGCTTTAAGTCTTATCCATACATTATAACTTGGCTAAAGTTCAACTCATAAACAAAATAGCGATGGTAAAGTAGGACTTTGGATCGATGCTGATCTGCAACAAGGCCATTCCGAACGATGTGATACCTTTGACAATGATATCCTGTCATCGTCTCCAGAGTTCGATTGTATAGGATTTGAAGTATGGGGGTTTAAAAATTAAGGTTTTAAAAATGGTGCGCCTGCACTACAGTTGTTATTTAGTCAAATTATAGGTAAATCGATATTTTTATATATAATTTTGGCCAGAATTATAGAATTAATATTTATATGCCATGTAACATTATACAGTAATAATGGCCAGAATTATAATAGACTGGTCGAAATTAAGAAGTTAATATCTTAAAACTATAAATTTTTGTGTGTTTGTATTGCTCCGGAAGTGTATATTAAAAAAGACATCTATGGTGTTTTACACTGTTTTTATTATGTTTTTTAGATTTTCCAAGTTTTGTATATAAATTTTTAACATAAATTTTTTTATGTTAGGTTTGGGAAGGGTTTTGAGGTGAACATTTTTACTTAATTACCTCGCATAATTAATTAGCTAGTTTGGGATAATATATAAAACACCATAGGTGCGTTCATTACTGCATTATGAACTATATATATGCTTGTGTAACTTCACGTGATAATATTACCGTATAAGCGCAAATAACGTGCAGGGGTGTAATTTCGAATTTTGGCCTAAATTAAGCTTAATTCGAGCCATTATTCGAAATAAATGCCCCTGCGCGTTATTTCGCGCTTATATATATGGTAATAAAATGTTTACTATATAAACTATATATATGTATATATATTTATAAAAAAAATATTGCTAACTTGTTTTGGTTAACATAATCGCTTTTTTTATCTTAAAAATGGTTTATATTTAGCACTATATATAAATTTTTTTTTTTTTATTTATTTATTTATTTAATATAATGTCATAGTAGAAACTTTATTACAATAAATCTAAATTAATTCAAAGATTAATAGTCTTCTTGTTATCAGAAAGACTTGGGTAAGAGGACAGATAAGTTATTTAATCAGGTTGCCAAATTCTTTTAACTCAGAACTAGCTAATAACCAAAAGGTATGGTTTTAGAAAAATTTTTATATAAAGATTTCTAACTACACTTGTGCTACAAAGCACCCAATGTGACATTACACCCCCTATTTCCTATTTAATACTATTATTAATTTAAATAAATAAAATAATTTTAGTTAAAAAAGATTGGAAAAGATATTAAGGTATTAATCATAATATTATAAAAAGTATATTGTTAAAGAAAAATCTTGTAGATACTATTTTTTAATAGTATCATGTAGGTTTATTAATTGTAAGTGAGATTTATATATATTTGTTTAGTTAGTAAGTAAGAGAGTTAAAAATTTGCTATGTTTAGTTTTAGGTGTAATATTTCAGGTTATTTTCTATTGATATTAAAAGAAGTTACGTTTAAATTATATTTCATAAAAGAACTAGTGTAAAAAATTATTAGAAAGATTAATAAGCATGTGTTTCGTTTGTTTTTTTGTTAGAGTTTTGATATTTTGATATGTAAATCTTGGATATATATCAAGGATAGTAGGAATAAAGAGAGTTGTATATATTATATATTAGAGGAGTTGGTTGTTGGTAGTGAAAGCATATTGAGAAGTGAAATAGGTTGGATAGATGTAAGTTGAAGTTGTTGAAGTATATATATTAGTATATAGTTATATTTATAAGTGATTATTGAATATCTTTAGTATTTTTAGAACACAAGAGTATATAAAGAGAGTCTTTGGTTAAGAGATATTTATAATATTTATTTGTTGTATATAGATTTGGATAGCGGATATAAAGATTTTGTATTGTTGGAAGGTTGTTTGTAAGGATTTTTATATAAAAGGAGTATTTGTGAGAGTTATTTTCTAAGAAGTTTAGTATTTTGAATGTTAAATTTTAGTTTATATCTGCTATGTAGTGTTTGGATCTGGTGAACAAATCCGTTGGATGATCCAATAGATATCTGACTATTTTAATCTAGTAGATATTTATTTGTTATCTATCAGATCATCTAAAATTAATAGAATCATAGTGATGAAATTAATTTAAAGTCTATTTTGATAGATCACTAATGTAATCAAAAAATAAATAAAAAATTTGATCAAAGTATAATTTAACTTTACTTTGTTATCTTGTAAAACTATACCCAATTAATAAATAGTGTTGCTTTGTATATTATATAATTTATATTACTTACTGTTAATAGAAATGGATAATAGTGAAGAATATTTATCACCTAGTGAAAGTTCTAATAAAGACTCTAATAAAGATTCTTTGATAGATATTATAACTACAACAAATAATGATAAATCTAAAAAACTCAAAAAAAGAGAAGAGTCAAGAAAAAGAAGTTGAATATGAGATCATTTTAAAGAGTTACATATTGATAATAGATCCAAAGGCCAGTGCAAAAAACTAAAGAAAAATGAAGATATATGTGATTATATAATTGAAATAGATGGTGATACTGGAAATTTTAGCGATTATCTCCAAAACAAACATAAAATTACAAAATTTAGAAGTATTAAACCAGATATTTCTTAACAAATACTTGATGAAAGATTTAATCAACAAAAAGTAGTACTATTTATAAAGAACAAGCTAATAAAGCTTTAGTTGAATTTATAATTACCAATTCACAACTATTTTATTTGTTAGAAAATCTGGGATTTGTAAAATATTTAATAGCACTTGGTCCATAAATTACCTAGCAATAAAGAAATTAAAAACAAAATTTATTTAGCCTATGATTAAATATCAGCAACTTTTTATAATAAAATAACCAATTCAATGAAATATTGTAGATTAATAACAGATTTATCTCTTAAATTGTAACACAGGCAAATTTGCCTGTGTTTTTAATAAAAAGTTTAATTTTTTTAATAAAATCTTATATATTGATTTTAACTATATATTTTCTAAGTAAAATATTTAATTTTAGATTTGTTTTATTAACTTTATTAAGAAAACTTTTTAAAATTATTAAAAAACTTTAGTATAATAAAAGTTTAAAGTTCTTGTATTAAAATTTTTACTATGTAATTTTTTCTTTAAACTTTCTTAAATTTTATATGTTTTTTGCCTATAAAAAAATCTTTGCTTCTACAAACATATTCTTTATCTTGAACAACTCTGCTCTGCAGACAATCATTTTCTTCTAGATTGGCTATATTTATCTTCTAGAATCTTACACATTCCCAAAGACAAGAAACCACTCTGGTTTATTTATCTAGAAAACTCTATACTCGAAAACAATATATCTCATACAATTCTACCACACTTTCAACCAAAAGGGTTTAATTCCTTTGCATACCAATCCAACCCAATCCCCAAATCACACAAACCCTGGGTCTTGTCTTTTTATAATGAAGATATCGTAATTGGCCAAATCTGTAAAACATTTCCCAAAACCAATACTATCTTTATAACATACTGGCAACATAATATTGATACTTCCAACTCCAATTTCTATCCACCCCCACCTATTACTTGCACACCATGCCATGGTTGCAACCTCAACTCTAATCGTATTTCCAGTAATTGTATACTAAAAGTATCTGCAATTTTTTTAACCCAATTCCTAGGCAGGAAAAAAGCTAATAAGCAACTTAATCTCAATGCAAACTACTTTGACCTCATCCAGTCTACTAACATCAAGTAGTCTACAAATCTACTACCACTGCTATCTATTAATTTTATTAATTTACCAATATCAGACATTTTCTACAACAACAATACCTTGGCTCTGCTTATCCAGATTGCATTAGCTAATCAATTACAAAACCAATTTACTTTCTATACAGATAGCTTTGTTAAACAACTTGGTACTAACCAATATTCAATAGACATTGGCTGGGTAGAGTTAGTACTTCAATCCGGATATAAATATATCCAGATTGATATTTTGCTAAAAATTTATAGTAAAACATAGTAATATTATTCAGATATAATCTGGATATAAAATAAATCCAAATATAAAAACATAGTAAGGTAGTAACTCTATGGCTAGGTCCAAATTCATAATGACTAAATCATACAGAATTTCTCTGCCCAAATCTCAAACTGGCCTTCTTTTTACAAAGCTAAACTATCTGCAATTCTATCAGCTATCTCAACAATCCCATGCAACTCTAGTATACAAATCTTCACTGACTCACAGTCAGTCATATTCAAGTACAACAAACTCTTATCCCAATCCCCTCACTCTACCAAAAAGTTTAAATTTAACTACTAGCCAATCTGGCATACACTTATTAATATTCTAAAAGCTTTTAACATTCAGCTTTCCCTTTATAAAGTTTAGGCTCACTCTGATAATATCTTTAATAACCTTGCAAATTTACTCGCTAACAACTATTCTAGTTTTTCTTTGTTACTATTTAATTACACAAACTTCTATAACCCTTATGCTACTCTAACTTGGAAAGACCATCCTATTAACAACCCTATCTGACCATTCATCAAAACAATACATAAGGCTTACAATATAGCTTTATAGTTTTCCTAACATTATACTCAAGAATAGTCATATTTCTCTTACCAAATTAACTGGAACACCTCCTGGCTCTACTTTAACAACAACCAAAAAACTTTACACAACTTTACCAACCCAAACTCAATTACCTAAAAGCTTTCAAAATTAAACTATTACTCAATATTCTACCTACCCACTTATACTTTTACCAAATATATCCTCTTGTATTTACATTATCTAACTGCTTCTCTTGTAACAACTCTGAATCACTCTCTGACTAGTATACCTGCCCCAATATTACTCCTCTCATTCAAATAATTAACTTCACAATTCAGACTATTTTATCTAACTCTAATCTTAACCTTCTTTCTTCCCAACTGTACCACCTCATACACATCATTTCTTCACATCCTGCTTTTAACCCCCTATCATTTCCAATATATCTATTTTCACTTCATTTAACACTCAAAGGTCTTATACCTAAATCTTTAATTCAATCACTAGACCTATTTGATATTTCATACTCCAGTGCTTCTTAAATTATTATACAACTACTACTTAAAATCTCTGACCAACTCTACAACATTGGATTCCATATTGCACTAACTTTTCTCAATAGAAAAAATCTTACAATACCTCCTCCTACCCCAAC